GTGCGCTGCCTTGGGCACCTCTCTTGCGGGGTCCGCCGTGGCCCGAGTACAGCCCAGAACCCTCAGGAGTGGACGTCCCTTCCTTTCCCTCACCCCATTATTATATTTGAGACAGTTACAGCGTCCCATAAACTCACCTTTAACTTTTCCTGCCTTCCTAGCTGCTGCCGGCTGTATAAACCTGCTGTATTTCCTTTGTGGAATTTTTTTTTTTTTTTGGTGCTATAAACTGTAACTTAGGTTGACTGATCAACTGTTGTAACCACTGAAAAACACCTCTCTCGGCCCTTACCGAATCCAGTTCTTTTTACCGCTCTCCAAATCCAAGAATTCAGGGAGCTGTCAGTCCTTCCCAGGAGCTGAGTGTACACATTCTTGCAAGATGCCTGGTGGATTTGGTACTTGTCACTGTTACTGGCTGTGTGCTCCTTCTGTGCTTTTCCTGAAAAAAAAAAAAAAAAAAGATTGGGTGGTATGTGTTTTGACTTTTTCTCCCCCACCGGGAAATAGGGGGAAAAAAAAGAGATTACAGAAGGACACTTGTTTTCAACAATAACAAAAATATAGCTTTGCAAACAAAATCCCTTAGGGTTTGTCCTTTATGGGACGTGTAGTTCTGCTTAGTCTTTCGTGCTTCACTGGGTTACCGTTGATGTTAACGTCTTTGTCTGGTGTTAAACTGCCGTACGTTTTGCATGTGTATGCGTTCCCGCTTTGTATATGGAACGTAACAATCAGACCTGAGAATGAGGTGGATGCCTTTTCTTTTATTAACTAAAAAACAAAAACCTGTTCCCCTCTAGTCAGTTCTGACTCAGGGTGACCCTGTGTGTTACACAGCAGAAGTACTCCATTCTTGTCTGTAATTATGGAAGTAGATCGCCAGACCCTTCTTCCATGCAGTGCTGGGTGGGTTCAAACCGCCAACCTTTAGCTTAGCAGCTAATCTCAGACTGTTTGCTATACCCAGGCTCCTGTGTATTAGCTGTAAAACCCAACCAAACCCATTGCCGTCGGGTCGATTCCAAGCTGTAGATACCTGTAAAGTTGTAGACCTGTGAGGACCTTTGTTTTGCTCTGACCGACTCTGGTCTGTGTCTTTCATTTCCAGATGATGTGCGAGGTGATGCCAACCATCAGTGAAGCAGAAGGCCCCTCAGGAGGAGGCGGGAGCCATGGGTCCAGCTCCCCATCCCAGCCTGACGCAGACTCCCATTTTGAACAGTTAATGGTCTCTATGCTGGAAGAAAGGGACCGTCTTCTTGATACGCTGAGAGAGACTCAAGAAACGCTGGCGCTCACCCAGGGGAAATTACACGAGGTTGGGCACGAGCGAGACTCCTTGCAGAGACAGCTCAACACTGCACTTCCACAGGTACGGACACTATGAAGTTTCCACTGACGGCTTTCCTGTGGTGTCACTTTCTGTTAATACTTACACGAACATTTTGTACAACTGGTTATGAGATGGTGGTTTCTAGTGATTGTAAGTCATACATAGGTAAAGTTCCTGGAAATAAAACATCTTAGGGAGAACAAATTCTGTGGTAGTCCAGAGTCATGTGAAGATACCTTATAACTCTCCTTCCTGTTGTGGGGCAGCAGAAGGGACTGTCTAGGTGTGAGGAAGTTCTCCAGCGTTGCTGAGAAAGACCGTGAAGAGCCAGGCTTTGTGAGGCCTTCAGTTTCGTTGTCTTCGGCTGCCTCTTGCCAGAAGTCTGTTTCCCATGCATTTCCAATCCCCTAATGAGGCAAATAGGATTGATTTCACAGCAAAGGAAATTTTTTACAGTCCACCTTTACCAGAACACCTGTTTTCTAAATGAGATTTGTTTTAGGGGTTGGAAGACTGGAGATGGGCCCCTCAGGAACTTTTTCTTGGCAGAAGAGAATCATCAGGCTTAAGATCACCTTGAAGTTGTTACTCTAAATATATTACGTTTGGACCAGTGTCTCAGAGCCTTTTGTTAAGGTGTTGAATGAGGGTTCACTGACTGGTGAAGGAGAAAGTGGTAAAACTAGGGAAGTGTACAGGGAATGTTGGAGGGCAGCGGGCTCTGTGTGGGTGACGTAGGTGTTTATGAGGGGTCTAGATGCCGTTCTGCCTACACAGAGAATGTACCTTTAGGGAGCTTTCAGGTAGACCTGAATAAGCATACGC